TCGATTTTAGCTCTTATCATATATACCTATATATATTAGAATTCAGAATTATGCGTCTGTTATCGATCTATTGAATAAAATTTACAACTGCTATGGACACAGTTAATGTCGATTTATAAGCGAAAACGTTAGGTATATCTATGTTCGATGTAAAGGTAATAACATAAGAGTATTAATAAGTGTTGAGTTACTCTATTTGGATGTACCTATGTATATATTCCATTGAAATTAAAAAAAAATTACCATAAGACAATAACTATTGATAATATCACCGAATCTAGACTTGAAATAAGGAATTTCAAACATTTTGAGTAAAAATCATATTTTATCTAGACATATTAAGTTAAGATGTTGGTTAATAAAAATTGAGTGAAATTACTCATAGTAATAATATATATACATACTAAAGAGATTGTGGTTTTGTATACCTAAGTATTAATCAACAATTCTAATTTTAAATATGATAATTCGCACTATACCAATCATTATTTATATTCTATATAACAGTAAAAATATGAATGATACAAACAATTAAAATAATAAATAAATTATATAGATTTACATGTGCTGTAGTGGCCCTTAAATTTTTAACGGAAGCGTCATATTTTATGTTAACATATGTAGTCGTGTCGTCGTTGCACCTATATTTTGTAATAGGTATATCATTTTAAGATAGATATTATAAATAAAAGCTAACTCTAATACAGTGTATAACTTCGAACAGTATAGTATACACAATACGTAGTATGCGTATTGGGTAAAAAAGATTCTTCTATTACGAATTACTAATTAGACAATAATATAATACCTTATTATATTGACAGTACAAAATATGCGTTCAAATAATAAATATACAAACGCTGTCTATATTTTACGTGCAATTGGATTATGATTTGAAAATTTTAGTTTAAAACGTAGGTACTTTCTAAGAACTTTTCTGGTTTACAATAAAAATAAGAATTGTCCTGTAATAATATTATGCGTGATGTGTAACTCGCACGTATGCCGTTTTTCGGATATATGTATGTATAATACAGCGTTCAACCCCGCAAGACAATTCGCCGCCGCTACCGCCAAACACGCGGGCGGGTCCCGGACATTCATCGGCTGCTGCTGTTGTCGGTGCCGGGGCGCGTGCGAGGGTGGTGACCATGGTGACGGTCGTACGTTGTGCGCGTATTTTGACCGCGGGGGATGGCGGCCCGCCATTTTATTTTCCACCACTTTCACCGTCACCACCGCCGCCACCCCGTTGACGACGACAACATATCCCATACATATGATTTCTGCACTTGCCCGAGGTCGTTTCCCGTTAAAAATACCGTAAATCGAAGTTAATTATTGTGGTCTACATAATTATATCGTGTAATTGATTACAATTTACAACGCACTTGAAAGGTATACGAGTACAAGTGCATCATCACCGTAGAGCGTAACAGAAACGCATTTATATTGCACGACTGCCGACGCGCCAACAGTCAATTTTTTATTCCATAAAAGCGAGCTATTTTTTTTTTTAATTATTGTTAATTACATTTTATTGAGTGGCACATATATATATATATATTCGTAACCGATTTATTCGTGTGAACTCAAACCTGTAGTAGCTATCTCCAAATAATTATTTTAAAAATCGCGTTTGGAACGTACGTGTAGAATAGTACAAATACAAAATTTGTTCTGCAAATCTCTTTTTTTTTCACCCACTTAAAAATATTAAAAACTTGAAACTGAGGATTTTTTATTGCCATCTATATTTTACATATTATACAATTTTCAAAGTATTTTTTAGTATTGTTTTTTTTTTATTAAAATACAGAGTTTGATAAAAATAATCATAAGTCATAAATAATTATTTATATAATTAATTAAGTAACTACTCGTATCATCGAATTCAAATAGATTTTTTTTTATTATTACAAGCATAATGTTTTTGGTGGCTGTGAAGTAAATATTTCGATATTTTGAATATAGAAAAGCTCTTCTTATTATAAAAACAAAGGATATCATTTCAAGTATTTGTAAGAATTAACACAGTTATATATAATTATTATACATACTATATATAGTATATACGCAGGTTGGCTAATGACTTTATGAGTATTGTATTGATAACTGCATTATATCAATGTTACTTTAAAATAGTTATTATTTTTTTTACGTAGGCCACTCTTAGAAGTCAAATCATTTATGAATTACAAGATATAAAATGTACAAGATTATCAAAAATAATTTATCCAATTTCAAATGTATATATATTTTTAGTTTTTACGTCTGTAATAATGTATGGTACATAAAAAAAATAATAATAATTCAATTTTATTTAAATGTAGTGCCATAATTAATGTTCAATATACAACTTCCCTACGTAACATGAACTCAAATTAATTTCATCCGTTATCATTGCCTTTGTTAATTTATCCAGCCTCACTTTGTTTGATGATAATGATGTTACGTAAACACAGTATCTCTTACTCGTCATAGTCTCAAAAAAAGTAGTCGCAGCACGGCGTAAGATCAGGTGACTCCTAGGAAGTCAAGCACCAATAATTGAATGAATAAATATCTCTGTATGTATATATTATAAAAGTGATATTATTATAAAATATAAATTATAATAATATATAATATAACGTATTGTCATACACTATACAATCATGAGTGTATACATAACGTTATACATATTCGTTTATCACTCGATGACGAAACGTTCCTTGAAAAAGAGTCGTTCGCCCGCCTACAATCGTCTCCTCCACAGCTTGTAATAATTATATTATTATTGTGACAGACTCATCGACGCTACATCGTCATCACTATTATTATTATCATTATACTTTTTCCGCGTTCAACACGTAGTTGTTGTTTCCACTTCCCGTTTGCGCTACTGCCTCCACGGCTATCGCCGCCGTCAGGTTTGATGATGGCATTATTTTGCTCGCCGAGCGTTGTTATTATTATTTATTTATTTTTATTTTATTTTTTTACTTTTCCTCTCTTATTCGTCTTATTCTTTTTCGTCTTTTCATTTGCAGCCTAACTGTTGCACTTGCCAACACGTATAATTTAGTGCCAAAAATCTATTCAAAAAAGTTGTAGAATATATACATAATAATATACTATATTTTCTTTAAATAAAATAACTTTTCCTCTCGCTCTTTTTCTATAAACGCCGTTTTAAGTGTACATTAATATATTTATATCATGTAGAATATATGAATTATAACTTATATATATTATTTAGATCGTGTAAACCAAAATAATTGTTATTTGTTTGTTGCATTGTTGTAATTAACTCCACTCATATAAAATATTATATGCTAAACACTCGAATTGTGATTTTGTTTTGCGAAAATTTCGCGATAAATAATTGAGTTCCGACGTACGATGTTTTTAAATTAACGATGAAAATAGCTATTGCGTTGCAGAAGACAGGATGAGGTGTCCTGTATTACTACTTTTTATTTAATTTATACGTATACGGAAAAACGTCGTAAGCTGTATAATAAGATCTTATCAAAATTTCAAAACTGTCAAGATATGCGGTCATCAATTAGGGGGACAGTATACCATAAAAGCCATACTAACTTAGACCGTGTGACGTGAATTAATTAAAATATCGTACGTGATGGAATTTTAGTGCGTTTAAAATCGCATTATGTTATATGTATGGTAAAAACGACCGCCACCGGGTAACCGTACACAGACGCGCGAGACCGTTAAAACTCGCTCTATATATATACAATATACATATATATGTATGGTAACGATAACACGTGTATAGCGGCTAAAAACAATTACCGTACACTACAATATGTGAGGAATCTGCTATTAATTACGAGCAACGGGGTTGCTCTCTGTCACACACACTCACTCGTTCATTTTGTCTCTTTCTTTTTACTCGTATAATATTATTATTATATGATGTCGTGGCGTAATAGCTGCACACATGAAAGGGTGAAAAAAAAATAACGGTGTATAATATATTGAAAGGATTTATAATATGGTAAAAACAACGTTACAGCGAATTCTCATAAATTATAAGTTCTACATATTATATTCTCGCATAAACAGTCATTCTAAACACTAATATACAATATAAATATATAATGCTTACATGAAGTATTTCGTGGCTGTTTATGAGTTTAAATAGTATCCGCCGAGAAGTACTCATTAAAAATATATTATATAATATGAACTTTATGTGAATTGTATGGTGAAAGTTGGATAGTAATGACACTATGACACTGATAACTGTTTAAAGATTATTCATCACCGATAAGACAATTTAAACACTTAAGCACTCATTTCATTTCATTTTATTTTATCGTACAGGAGTGTAGGTACCCATTGTACGAATATTTCTAGACTTTATGAAAATTTTCAATTTAATTTCGAATTCTAATTAATGTTTTGATAATTTTTATATGACTTATAATATGTCCTAGACTTAAATACAAAAAAAAATAAAAATAAAATAAATTGTAATTATCTGAGAATTGAATGCTTCAATTCTGCAATACCTATTTTCATTATTATAAAGTCACTAAAACGTTATGTTAGCACACTATTAATTTTTTCATTGATCGTACAATTATAATCGCATTAAAAACTATTGCCCATAATTAATTCGATATTTTTAAATCCAACTTTTAGCATATATTGTACGAATTTCTACAACATAAAGCATTGCACTAACCACTTCAACAGCATTTATTATATTCTTATATATTATTGACATTGAAATATTTAACTCGCGTAAGTCATATGGAAACTCGTAATGATTTACTGCTACATATAGTATACGTCAGTTTATGTAAGTGATCAGTGCAACGATATGATATTTAAGCGTTCGTCATCCATATTAATATATTATTATGATTGTAAATCGCAACACTTAAAATGCGACGAAAGACTTAGCGGGTAACGCGATATAATTGCACCGTATATCACATTATATTATATTATATACTATAACGAGAAAAATATTATTATTATTACAGAATTTCATTCGAAAATCAAACTGAAGGGCACTGGCGTGGATGTATAACGTGTCTTAAACTACTCGAAATAAGGTGCGCAATAATACATGACGATCAATAGTGTCAAAGCGACGATAGTATACACAGAGGATGTTTATCAGGTACATACCAGCTATAACATAATATAATTATATATAAAAGAGTCCACCGTGTTTTATCGTTTTATCATTTAACTAATATAGGAAAATGGGGAAATGCGGTTATCATAATATATATCATGATATATAGGTACTTACCTAACTAATATAAATGCACTGTACGATATTTGCGATCGCGGCAATATTTTACCGTGTACGTAATAACTACCTATAAAATATATTATTTTTACACGCGTACAACACAAAAAACATATTTCATCAATTTTCAATATATTGTATGCATCGTGAAATTAGTCGATGAACTAAATTTATAATATGTATAATATTACGTAGAACGAATCTGAACATTATTCTGGTTGGAATAATATCATTAAGTATATACTTCAAAAAAAAAAAAACCCGAATTTTAAGGATCATATCATTACAATTGCATGTTGAATAATGTCAAAGTATTAAGTACAATATATATATATATATATATATATATATATATTTGATTCTGGTACCTATGTAAAAAAAGAAAAGTTATATAGTGGGTTTAAAGTTTTAAATCACTTAAATATCAAAAAAATTAATAAATAAATAATCATAATTATCATAATATTTACCAAATAAGTTAAACACTGATCGTACACTAAAATAACTTAGTGTTTTACAAGCAAAACATAAATACATTTGTTATAGACAAGGCACTATTTTTTTAATTTCATTTCATTTTCAAATACGTATGAACACTGAGCTTTACTGAGAAAAATTCGTATAGAGGCTCAGGAGTTCAAAATAAAATTATTTAAATATAATTCATCTATTTGTTAAGTATATGATTAAAATACATTAAATAATTGTCTTAAAATAATATTTATTACTATAATGTTAATTCGTAAGAAGAGGACTTATAACTATTAAAAAATGTATTTCTTGGATGAATTAATTATAGAGGATTTAATATATTACGTATATGATACTGCATATATTTCATAGTTATTGGTGCCAACTATTTTAAAATATCTACAAGATGTGTTTTTAAAATTTTTTTTTTTTCGGGAAAACTATTTTTAAGTATTTCATATTAATTTTGTGTAATATCGTTTTTCATCAATGATCTATGTCTGTAGTTCGTGTGTTATATTAGATCAATGTATAATATTTTATAAAATAATTCATCATCTGGAACACGCGCGCGTAAAAAATGTCGTAACGACAATATCGTTTGCAGCCGCCCGTTTGCATATATTATAATTATTCATTATACAAACCAACGTCGGCGGGACATTACGGTATATAATATATACGCGTTCGTACCTTTAATACATACAATCATTACGTGTATTTTATGATATTAATAATCGGTGTGGAAAACAAAAAAAAAAAAATAAAAAAATAAATTAATATATTAATACAATATGAAACGGAACTATGAATTCGCCCGTTTTATCATAGAAACAATGTATACTTACTATATTATATGCATAGATAGGTATATACGTATGCCGCGCTGTACGGTGGCAGTAATAGTAGTAATAATAATAATAATAATAATAAGCGTACTTTTCAAAAAGGGTGTAGGGGGTGCAAATGAGGTCTGCAGCGTGAGTTTCGCAGCGCGCGTATTATAATATTATAGAGCCGTACGCAGTCGGGTCGCCCGGCAAGACAATAGAAGTTGACTGCCATTGGTCGAGCCCGGCCACCGGCGGCGCGCCACTATGTATATGTTATATCATACGCACTGGCGATAATATATATATATATATATACAGTCTATACCTACACACACGCGAGCAAACGTATATATATATATATACATACAGCGTCTGTACAAAAGGGATACCCACGGGAGAAAGGAAAGCCAGTCCAGCCGTCAGCTAATTAAGGGTTGCGAATGTATTGTTTACTGGCGGCGGCGGGTAGACTCGAAGGATAACGCGCGCCCGAGTAAAACAAAGGGCAGCCTTTACCGCCGCCAACCCCCCGATCGTCCTTTGCCGCTCTTCTGCCGGTTCGGGTTTAATGTATATATATATATATATATACGCGTATATACTCTAATATGTAAATCGCACGCGCGCGCTTGCGCGTATGTGTGTGCGTGTTACACGACCCCGATCCTGCTGCAAAAACATCAACTCGAACACGCGGGCATATACCCGCTTACACTTTTGGAAGTTTGGATAGTAAACGTATATATACGTATAATATACCGTATGATATTATAACGCGCTAATGGATTCGATTAATTATCCATCGTGAGAGGCTTCTTCGAGGCTCAACCGTTTTCGTCGATGTCGGATACGATAATAATATATATTACTGTGACGCGCGAAGTGTATATTGTTTTTCGAGTCAAGTAACAGACGGTTGTAGGTATGTCTGCGTTCAAATGTGGGCGAACGACGGCCCGCCGCCAGGTTTACGTTGTATTTAATATTTTTGTGTGTGCCCAACTACTAAAATAACAATAACGATAATACAATATTGTCTCGGGTCTCGACAAAAAAACTGGCGTAATTATAACCGTCTCTCACGTCGGACGAACTTCGCGAGCGCGAAACTCGCACTACGAAAACGGTCTAGCGTTATTAATACATTAATAATATAATAATGTGTGTTCGCCGTCGTTACCGTTATCGCGAGAGCACGCGGTATTGCATTACTCGGAAATCCTTTTCGGCTCGTTGGCGGAAGATTTCAAGACCGCCCTATATAAATAACTGTAATCAGAACCGTCGTGGATTACAATAATTATCGGGTCTTAACTGCGAGTATAATAACGAGAACGTTTTACCCAGAGCAGTATAATGATGTGAAGGGATTGTAACACTGCCAATTAAAATATGTATTAATATTAATAATAATTATATTCGTTCCTCGTCTATAGTGGAATGATGGTACAAGAAGATTTTATGCCATATTTCAGTCGAAATTCAGGACGTGTACTAACTTAAAGCAACACATAGGGTAATGGTGTTTTAGAGAAGACGAGGTTCTTAAAAAATGCAATAAATCAGACAAAATCTGCAAAACAAAATATTAACATAAAATTTCTTTTTAATTACAGTAAAAATATATTCTAATTTAATAACTACAAATATGTTATCCAGCTTGTCTTTTTAATATACAATGATCTAATACCATTTGTTCGATAGAATTTAATGTTTTAAAATCTATAATAGTAATTTTTTTACCTTTGTATTTTAGTTGTTACTTATCATTAATGTTGGCTAGCATGGTTATTTACTTTAAATTTTACTGTTATAAAATCTTTATACAAACAATCATAAATAATTAAAATGAACAGTAACTACGGGTAATAATTAAAAATATATAATTATCAATAACTATAATTATGTACTGGCTACTAACAGATCGGATGGATGGATGGGCGCAACTAAGACATGGAAGTCTTAAACTTTTTGGTAGAACTTTAAAACTGACTATAATATTATGAATCAATGCAATATTTATACATAATAATAGGCATTTCTTAAAATATTTTTACTATTGATATTTTACTCGTATTATAATATTCGATATAGCAAATTAAATATCATTTAATTATGGTAATACGTATGATATCATAATAAAATATAACATATTATGTTGTACGAGGTTGAGAGATTTCACTACAGAAAATATATTTATAACTTTTAAGACTGTTGTATTAGGTACTATTATGTTGATTTATTTGCTGGTTGATTATTTGTATGTATTATAATACACGTAGAGACGTCATGTAGATTCTGACGCGTACATCGAATATCGTGCAATATGTATAATAATAGGGTCAGCCAGACGTCGTAATGTATGGTTTACGTTTTTGTTCTGCATTTTGTCGCCTTTAACACATAGGTACACACTACACACAGACGAACAGACGCCATGTTATATTACAATGCGTATAATAAATAGGATATTCGTTAATCGCATCACGATCGAGTACATCTGATCGGATTCGCACGGAGGACATAAAAAATAAAACATACCTATGTCAACCGCGCAGATTTAACAATGATTATAAAACGTACTCGCAAGTCACGGGTTCTCACTCCGCGTACATTATGAATTATAATAAATACAGTTATATTGTTGTGCTCGTTAATTTGTGGGTACCGATTTCTAGTTAAACAAGTATATTATAAAATCTGTTCGAGACGTAATAAGCCACACTCGCATGTGCTTCGATCCGAAGTATAATATATGTAAGTATTACCTATGCTTTATTTAATATTATAAACACAACGTATAGTATAATATAATATTACGGTATCGACAAAAAACTAATCATATAGATCTCGTATTATTATTATTATTATAATCTACGAACACGAAATTTCATGCCAAAAGCCGTGCCGATGTATATAATATAAAATATGTCTTGCTATGCGCAACGATAACAAATAGACAAGATCAGGATTATATAATGCTGCCACTATGACGTACGATACGTGCGTTTTGAACGGGAAATCGACAGCATCCGCTCCGTCAAATCGACGAAAAATGACCGTCTTCAGTATGACGTCGCCGTCATCACTCTTATTATATGTAATAATATTAATATATTATGTAGATAGGTGTATATACGACGACGAGAAATGAAAAACGTATTTGTCATTTTTTCCGCACGTGCAGTAGTACACACACACACACACACACACATATATATCATATTATCGTCTAATGCGTGCCCGATGCATCAATTTTTATTGACACTCGAAGTGAATAACATTTCAAAAAATAAGACACTCTCGAGTTATATACGTATAATATATAATAGGTACATATAAATATAGACACACATATATTACACATATATTATACTCGCGCGTATACATTTCTCTCCTGCGGAGTATACCCTTAGAATATATACATATATACTCCACCGAGCTGTATCGCCGCTGCCGCCGTAGTATATGGACCGTATCCACGCGAGATAGAAACACATTATAAATAAGGAAAACTCTCCCCCGAGAACCCTTCCAGTGGCAGTGCGGTGCAGCGTTCAC